GAAGGAAGGAAGGAAAAAAAAAAGACAGAAGACAAATGAATCAGTTGCAGTACTGGGCCAAGTCCTACATCCGACACAGCATCCTGAAACCAAACAGCACAGTTTGCTTTGGTATGGACAAAAATGTTCAGAGAGCTGTTCAGTGCCATCAGGCACAGGACTGTCACAGCCAGCTGACCTCCCTCGCCACATGTACAATTTCCCTGGCAAATAATCACAGTTCAACAGTTTAAAACAAACGATTCCCAACACACACAAAAAACAGAGCTTGTATGAAGGAGGCTGTTCAGACTTTGACTGGCCTACCATTTTTGCTGAATTACTTCCAATTTCTATTCAGTTCAATTACCAAATTTCACCAAGAAAATTTCTTAGGTGGGAGAGGCTTCATTTGGAACAAAAAGCATGCCTTTCATCCCCCCCTTGCATCAAACTGCAGCTCCCACATCGCACGGATTGAACACTGCTGTCACGTGACTGGGACAGCTCCTTTGCCATGTGAGCATCACGTGAAGAAGTGAGAAGAAGAAAATACAAAGCAGTACAATGGGTTACATCCAGCTTCATCTCAAGATATTCCTTGTGCTAGGCTTTTTATAGCTCAGTAGTTTGACGAAGTACAAGCTCAACCCTGTAGGGCCCTCAGTGGCTTCCTCAATGCCACATCTCTGCCAACAGCAATATGACATACCTTGTGAGACATGGTTCTAGAGCAAAAAGCCAACAGGTTTTTTGCCAACAGGCGAGTGCTCTGAGCAGCAGAGAGCGGGCCTCAGTGAGCCATGACAACATGCAGGGGCCTTGCATCACACCATCCCCAGGCACCTCAACAGGCTGAAAGGAAAACCCAGTTTTCGGGAAAACCCAAAGGCCTTATGCTGCATGGCATTCCCAGCGGACACAGCAAAGCAGTTAAGGTGATCAGGTTGGGTGCTGCTTCTGCTGAAACCACTTGCTGTGACCCTAAGCTAGGTGAAGGATCTCGAGCTACCTTTGGATGTGGCTCGGTGAGGTGCCTCAGGTTTGGAGGCTGTATTTTGTGTTGGTATACAGAAGCTGGCATTCCCAGTTGGTATATGGAGGTCGATACTGCAGGTTGATATTCAAACTTTAATAGTGTGTGCTCCTAATTGGTGAGGCTGCTACAAGTAAAGCAAGCGGCACCACCTATTTGACAGAAGCCATCTCACATCAGGGTTGAATAGTGCATGCTAGCTGCAAGCCAGCCCTCCATCCCCTTCTGCTATCACTAACCGACTGGACAGCAGGGTCAGGAGGGCTTCCTTCCAAGAGGGGAGATGCACAGCCTTAGCTGGCTCCCTATCTCCCTAACTCATAGCAGTAGCGAGACACGTCCGCCCATCCGAGGCAAACAAATAGTCTCAGTGGGTGAATAAAGATTATGCCTCTTTAAACCAACTGTAAATCTGCATGAAGACAGAACGTACATACACAAGTAGTCAGTGTGCAATGTGACGTCAATCTGAGTTTTACAGATTTATTATTACTGTACATAAAATCTCCTAGTAATAATAACATTCTATGTAAAATACTAGAGCGTTGGGACACTTTGCGGGTGAAAACCATACAAGAAAAATAGGAAAAAGTAGGTCAAGTGTTTAAAAAAAATGCTGGGAGGGAAGCACGCCATTAAAAATGTAAGGGTTGGGGGCTGGAACGCATTAGTGTGAATCTCTTCCATTCGGTGTACTAACCTTGAGAGTTGCATTGCACAGAAGAACGAATTTAAAGGAAAAACGAGAGAAATGCTTGCATTGGGATCAATCAGTTCGCTGTTTATTGTTATTATTCTCGCTTTCTGTTTATTTTGTTTTTAAGCACAGTCCCACCACTGCCTTGAGCCATCTCTACAACTCGCAGCCACGCTGAATACAACTCTCGCACCTTAAGGATGCACCAGGACACCCACCCGCCCACCCTGGCCATGCCGCCATGCTCCGTAACGTGGTTAAAGAGAAGAAAAGAACGAAAGGGAAATGAGAAACAACCTCAAGGGAAGGCTGCTCCTCTTGGGACCTTCCTTGCCTACTGATCCTACTGCTGTTTCTTCAAGGAAAGGAGCCACGCTCTGTGACATACTTGTGGCACGAGGCGATGCTCAGCTGACACCTCTACAGATGGGACCAGAGATCTGCGTTTGTGTGGCTGAAGGAACACCAAGGGGGAGAGGGAGTGAAGAGAAGTGAAGGCAGCTGGTTACGAGAGCATGCGAGTGGCTAGTAAATCCATGGTGTTTCAGTCACACTGGTTAAGCAATTCTAACAGGTGGCACTCCTTAGCAGCTTTTAGGGCTGCCAAATCCCTCCATCAGGAACGAGGAAATTCTGGAGATGCAGCCAGGGAAGCATGTGAACCCACTGGAAGATCGGCAAGCGTGCAAGCCACATTTCCCAAGATATCTCACTTTTCAGACAGGTCGATGAGCCCTCAGAAGCTGTAATTTATCACATTCAGCCCAACAGCACCCGGGCTAGTGAGCCCAACCAGAGAGTCCTGTGTTTTCCTAGCAAACTTTGTACAAAATCAGCCAAGCTGCTACCAAGAAAGACATGAGCTGCTAAGCCTATCTGGTTTCTCACGTGTGAAGTCTGTGCCAGGTATGGGGTTAGCAATGCTGGGCCACTACGCATGCGCAATGACAGCTTGAGACCATGCAGAACTACAGAGCAAACTCCAGCAAGAGTAGGTCCCTCTCACCAGTGGTTCCCTCTCACCAGAACAGTGGTGAGGATGGCTATAGAGGAGTTAATGCCATCAACCACATGTACCTTCAGAACCAAGCATCCCTCGGCAGTGCCAACACCAATGCCACTACCCACACTGATGTAATGCAGGACAGACCAGCGGGCTCTTGCTGCTTCCCCCAGGCCCTCTGGCTGGCTCACTCCTGCCTGCACCGAGCTGGAGCACCAAAACAAGGTCTCAATTAATTGCTGATTTCTGTGACTACGGATCCCGATGTCATCCCATGTGCACTGTTTCTCTGCACTGAATCCATCATTCTCGACACCTCCAGACACATCCAATGTACGCGCCTCGCCAGCAACGCTATAATTTTAATAATGACAAGGGATTACGTGTGATTACTGGGCTTCACTCTCCTCGTTCCCCTGTCTACCAACGAGCCCCAGCCGCGCTCTGTGCAGCGGGTGTTCTGCCTTCCATTGTCTGTTGGGCTTGGCATGTTCACCAAAACCTCTGCCAACACAAGACCCTGTCTGCACAGCCAGGAGCGCTAAGCACATCCGTCAGGTTCGGAAGCACAGTGTAAAGACAAACGTGGATGCAGATCAGAGGGCAAGCAGCCCAGCGTACCTCTGCTATTTTCCCACCGTGTTCCCCAGGCCATTAGTGGGCTATCTGCAAAACGAACTACACGGGCACGTGTCACAGCACCGGCTTTGCCACCAGCCAGCCCCAGATGGGTGAGCCAACGCTTCCCCAGACTTCTGCTGGGGCACTGCTCAGCTCCAACTCTCCCTCTCCCCACCATCCCAGCCCTAAAACCGCCCTGAAACAACCACGATCTCCAGGAAAAGAAAAAGGAAAAAAGAATAAAGAAAAAAAATAACAAAAAGCAGCGAAACCAGCCGGCCACCAGTCTACTGGGTCACGCAGCGGGCGCACC